TGCTTCCTAAGATCTTAGCCACAGGCTGGAAGCACTGCTATTCTCAGAGCTCTTGGATTAAGAGGCCTGGGCTATTTTCAATGGAGTCTGAGGAGAGATAGTGGTCAATGTGGAGATGGTTTGGCTCGCCTGGAAATCCCATGCTGCTTCCTGTGTCTTCCCTCTAGTGCCTTGCTGCTTCAGCTAGACTGGCTTGGCTTCCCTGTGTATGGCAGTTGGTTGGCAGGTAGTGGGAATGGCTGACCTCTTCTCCAAAGGAGTTGCTTCCCTACATGATGACAATGAAGGCTGCACTGGAAGTGGGGCCAGTGGGCTGAGACGTGCTGCCACTCCCAGGGCTATTGTGTTCATCTGCCTGGTCATAAATAATAAGGCCAGACTAAATGGATTGGTATCTCAGGACGTTTAGTAGAGGTACCACCATCCTGTCAGAACACCCTTCTGACCTAGCATTACCCTCATGAATGTGGAGGTGGAGAGGAGTACCATGTTATCTTAATTAGCAATGAAGAATTATCTCCTTTTTATCCTTCTTGAAGTAAAGTTACTTTTACTTCAGTTATTGGTCTAGGTGTCTCACTGTGTTCTATCCCAACGCCCGGATCCTTGTCCAGGCCTGGATTAGCTTGGGCCAGAATAAGCAGAGTAGGCAGAGACAGGGAGGAGCTGTTGTGAGGTTAGTACAAGGGTGTAGGTAGGTTAGTGTGGTGGCAGTGGAAATAGAGAAGACAGAAAAGATAAAAATTTGGGATATAGAATGGTCTATTTAGGATAGGCCTTAACAAGTAATTCCATGTGGTGGGGTTGGTATCAAGGTAAGGAAAGGAACATGGATGGAAAATGCTAAGCAAACAACAACCAGGAATGACAGTTTAGTAGGTCTTAAGGAGACCTTCTTTAGCATTGGAGCTGAAGCCACAACAATGTTTTAGATTCCCTGAGCTCTGGAAATGGCCAGCTTTTTAAGCTAGGACAAACATGGGTACAGTTTTGTCTATGAGTCTCAGCTGGTTGCTGACGTGCCAATGGCTGATTATGGCTCTTTGTCTAACTCTTCAAATATTTGGAGATGGTTATTAAATTGGCCCTTGCTAAAAGCACTGGGCTTTTTCCCTCTGTGTTGAGTCCTGACTCTGCAATCTATGAACTAGCTGGATGACTGTGGAAGCCTCGGTTTCCTCAACTGTCAAATGGGCATTGTCTAGACTACAGGATTTTTATGAGGATCAAATGAGATTATGGAGAAAAATCTTTTATAACTGTATCCATCTGAGTTATTTTCTGTTATTTGTCAGCCTGCCAGCAGGATTCTTATTACCCTAACCCCCTAGGTTTCAACTAAAAAATTTGAGTGACAAAGGATGTTTGCAAATGAGCCAAATAATCTGGGGAGCTTGTGGAACTGAACAAATAGGAAAAAATTATTTTTCTCCAGCTCTGATTAACAGTGAAATTGTTACTCTAGTGAAATTATCATGAATAGTGCCAATAGCTCTAGAAAGGACATCTTTCTCATTACTTATACTTAGAGTGCCTCTTACCACCTCCTTTGTAAGCTGAGTGAATCAGAGGGAAAGGACTAATAAATCATCAAGAAAGTAGCACATTTATAAGTGATTGGGAAACTGGCAAGGAAAATACATGACAACTGACAATTGCACAAAAAAGAGAAAGAAAGAAAGGAAGGAAGGAAGGAGAGAAAGAAAGAAAAGAAAAGAAAAGAAAAGGAAAAGAAAAGAAAAGAAAAGAAAAGAAAAGAAAAGAAAAGAAAAGAAAAGAAAAGAAAAGAAAAGAGGCCAACCTGTCACCAACTTTCTAGTAGCATTTATTAGTAACCAGCATGGTCTTAGGCAAACTATTTAATCCATCTGGGCCTTTGTATCTTGTCAATATCTATACAATGAGAGGTTGGATTGGATCATCTCTATGCCCCCTTCCAGTTCTAAATCCTGTAAGGAATATGCATATATTATTCCTTTTTCAGATAGGCAAGGAGAGGCAGTGTGGTTTAGTGGATAGAGAGTAAAACTTGGGGCAGCTAGGTGGCGCAGTGGATAGAGCACCGATCCTGGAGTCAGGAGGACCTGAGTTCAAAACCAATCTAAAACCAGATACTTGACACTTACTATCTGTGTGACCCTGGGCAAGTCACTTAACCCCAATTGCCTCGCCCAAAAAAAAAAAAAAAAGAGTTAAACTTAGAGCCAGAAGACCTGAGTCCAGGTCCAACTTCTGATATATCATGACTATACAACCTTGGGCAAATCATTTAACCTCTCTAAGGTAACCTATGTATGTAGGTAATATTCCAAGACTGCACTGTAAAAGTGCGGGCCTGCATTTGTGGAAGAAGTCCCCTCTACTGATATAATCATAGGTCCGGACCCTATTTCACTCTTCCAGTTGGGTCCTGTCTAAATGGATGAGAAATATTTAATGTCATTCAAAAACATTAGTGTGGGGGCAGGTAGGTAGCACAGTGGATAAAGCACTGACCCTGGAGTCAGGAGGACCTGAGTTCAAATTAAGTCTCAGACCAGATACTTGACTCTTACTAGCTGTGTGACCCCGGGCAAGTCACTTAACCCCATTGCCTAGCAAAAAACAAAAAAAACAAAAAAAAAATTAGTGTGTGAATCTGACCAGAGAGAAACAACACACACAGACACACACATACACCTTTGCCCAAGTAGAAATTAATTCTGCTATTTTTTTCTGCTTTTTTTTTTAACTCTTCAAAACCAAATTCTTAAAACCTGTGAAGTAGTCAAGTATCAAGTGGCATAAGTGTTAAGCAGTGTTTGTGAAAATGCAGACCAATTACTGCAATGTTTCCCAATTACTAGGTCCATAGTCAATTTTTTCTGGTCTGCAAAACTTTTGCTACCAAAGGTCCTTAATTCTTTTTTTTTTTTTTTTGGTGAGGCAATCGGGGTTAAGAGACTTGGCCAAGGTCACACAGCTGGTATGTGTCAGGTGTTTTGGTCTGAGACTGGATTTGAACTCAGGTCCTCCTGACTTCAGGGCCAGTGCTCTATCTACTCAAAGGTCCTTAATTCTTAAAACTGTGTTCTCAACAATAAGATCAGACACCACACGTGACATTTCATTCTTTTACTCTTTCTCCCTGGACCTTTCTCCTCCCACTCAATCTCTTATATCTCCTCATTTCTCAGTCCTTGTCCCTTAAGCTGCCAAGAACAATCCTACTAAGTATTCACAGAACAGAGTTACTTGACATAGGGAATTAATTTGCCCCTTTGCCCACATATAGTTAGGACTGGGAACCACTGTTCTGCTAGATTTCATTGTTTTATTTCTTATGCTTATCACAAATGCAGGTCATTTCATATTTGCGTAGTTCATGGGCCTTCTTCAAAGTGAGAGAAGAATTCAGTCAATGATACATGGTCATTAACATTTGTATACTTTGGACTAGACTGTTCAACCCATTTGCGGATTGGAGCACCTATCTGCCAAAGAGCCAGTTCCTCCTGAGAGAGGCAAATAAAGGAAATTTCAAAGGATTGTCATTTCAGTCAGTCAATACACATTTATTAAGGACCTATTATGTGCCAGATGTTGTGTTAAATGCTGGGGATATGAAGAAAAGCAGAACATATAGTCCCTGTCCTCAGAAAGCTTTCACTCTAATGAAAGAAGACAACATTTAAAAGGAAGGGGAAAAATACATGTGTGGGAGAGAAGGTACCTGTGCAGGGTTGAGGGGCATAAAAGACAAGTCCAGAGGATTACAGTCCAGGGAGGTCAGTAGTTGGAACAGAGGAGAGAGAGTATTCCAGGCAAGTGGGATGGCCAGAGAAAATGTCCAGAGCAGAGAGATGGAGTATCTTGTTCATGGGACAGTCAGGAGGCCAGTGTCACTGGATCAAAGAGTATGTGTTGGAGAGTAAGGTGTAAGAAAACTGGAGAGGGCTAAGTTATAAAGGGCTTTGAATGCTAAATAGAGAATTTTGTGTTAGGTCCTGGAAACAATAGGAAGCCACTGGACTTCATTGGAAAGGGAAGTGACATGATTGGACCTGTGCTTTAGGAAAACACTTTGGTGGCTGAATGGAGAATGACTTGAGACAGGTAGACAAGCAGGCTATTGCAATATGCCAGGTGTGAGGTGATGAGGGCCTGTACCAGAGTGGTAGCATTGTCAGAGAAAAGGGGCCATATTCGAGAGATGTTGCAAAGATGACATCAACAAGCCTTAGCAACAGATTGGATGTGGAGGGTGTGAGCTGGTGGAAAATCCAGCATGACTTCTGGGTGTGAGTTTGAGCAATTGGGTAGATTATTGTAGTAGGGAAGGTAGGAGGGAGAAAGGATTTAGGGGGAGAGGTAAGTTCTGTTCTGAACATATTGAGTTTAACATGTCTACTGGATATCCAGTCCAAGACGTCTGGAAGGCAGTTGGAGATGTGAGATTGAAGGTCAGTAGAGAGGGCAGGAAAGGTAGATTTGAGAGTCATCAGCATAGAGAAGGTAATTAAATCTATGGGAACTGATGGGATCACTAAGTTAAATAGTAAAGAGGGAAAAGAGAAGATCTCCCAGGAAAGAACCCTGAGGGACTATGAGGGAAACTAAGGAAGATCTTCCCCAGCCCCTCGTGAAACTGTCTCATGACCTGACATAAAGAATTTAAGTTGGAGTTATGCATGGCCAAGGGTGCCATGGAGACAGAACATTATGTAACCAACAAACTATGTTACCTGGGAAAGCAATTCTTATCTCAAGCAACATTTTTCTTGAGAGAAGAGTGTAACTGTCCAAGGACCTGATCCCTCCTTGGAGACCTACACAACAAACAGGTATTTGGGGCTCTGATCACGCTCCCACCTTTGTTAGAATGTCTGCATATCCAGGACCTGAGCTCACCAAGGATATGTACACAAAACAAAATATTAAGATTGTTTTTCCCTGGTTTACATGGATATAAAAGGGGCATCTGAAAGAGGATTTTTTGGAGTACTTTGATGTCAGAGACAGGGACGCCGAATCTCTGTTGTTGTTCAAGGGCAGAACGCATGCACTGCCCTTGTGTAAGAACAGGACGCTGTTGTTTTGGCCTCCTGATCAGACCTCTTGATCATCTCCAGTGTCCCCCGTCTTGTAGGTATTTGAGCTCGCCTGGTCAGTGAGTGTGTATCCTTTCTTTTCTTATTCTTCCTTTTCTTAATTTTGATTATTACTTATTACATTGAATGTTATTCTTATCTTTATATGCTTGTGTTGTTTTAATCATTATTAATCATTGTAAAATAAATGTGATTGTTAAGTTTATAGTAAGTTCGTGTCATTTTATCTTGAGATCCAAACCTAAAGTGAAAGTACTGTGCAGTCTGTAATCTTTTCGATTACAGGGACACCTATGGTTAGAGGGCAAGGTCTAGACCAGGGGTGGAGAACCTTCGACCTCTAGGCCACATGTGGCCGTCTCGGTCCTCAAGTATGGCCCTTTGACTGAATTCAAACTTCATAGAACAAATCCTGGGATTTGGGCATGTTTGTAAGTAGTAGGACATAAGTCAGTAGAGAGGGAAAGATTGAAAATAAATGAAAGAGTAGGGATGACAGAGGGGGGAATCTGTTGAAGGAGATGGGATGGAATGGGATTGCTTGAACAAGTAGAGGGATTAGCCTTGATAAGGAGTAAGGCCACTTCATTATGTGAGACAGGGTGAAGGAGAGAGTGGCAAAAGGCAAAAGAGAGTGATAGAAGATGAGGAAGAGGGAAGAAGAGGGAATTCATGGCAAATAGAAAGCCACCTCATCAGTCCCTTTGGGGACTATCTTTTCCAAGAACTATTAAACTGAATGGAGAGAGGAAGAATATTATGTCCTTCCTCCCAATTATATCCCAAACAATTCTAAGATTTTTTTAGGGCATTGACAAGGATAATTGAGCATGAAGGCTCCTAACACATTCTCACTGGCAAATTGATGATATCACTCATCATGTCCATCATGGCCAAAGCAGGTATATCAAAGTGGAGCAACTAGTAATTTCTTCATTATATTTAATTGTGGCCTTTTCACATTGCTCAACCTAGGAAGAGCAAAATCACTGTCCTCTTGATCTTTTCCTTCCCCTTAAACCTCTTCCTGGGATAGAGAAAAATGTGTGTGAGTAGCATTGCAGCCTGTGTTCTGCCAGCATATGGAATTACATATGTCAAGTGCTTTGAAAATCTAAAAGCACTTATATAAATGCTAGTCATCATTATTATTATGTTTCTGGTCTTGAAGGATTTGGCAACACAAAATGAAGTTACATTTGCTTGAATGAAATATTAAATGGCAACCATATCAAATATATTATTTATCATCTTTAAAACCTCTCAAAAATAGGAACTATTGACTGTGGCTGAAGAAACTACATATTAAGAAAAAAAAATTAAACACACAGTATTGTGGATTATCTAATTCTATTCTACCCATCCAAGGATGTAAGAGACAACAAATATTAGTAGAATGGACTTGGCCTTTCATGTTAGGAAATCTGAATTTAAGTTTATAGTTCTGCCTCTTTTTAGCTATGTGACCTTTGGTATGTAATTTAACTTCTCTGGGTCTCAGTTTTCTAATCTATTGGGGTGCGGAGTTGGGGTTTTGGTGGGGAAAATACAAGCAGGCAATCAGTTTCCTTGAGTGTAGGGACTGTGTTTTTGCTTTTCTTTGTATTCATAGTACTTAACACTGTGTATGGCCCATAGTAGATGCTTAACAAATACTTGTTGACTGACTAAATACCCTGACCTCTCTAGGTCTTAGTTTATTCATCTATAAAATAGGGATAAAAACACTTGCATTATGTTGTTGTTGTTGAGTCATTTCAATCATGTCTGACTCTTCATGACCCATTTGGGGTTTTCTTGGGAAAGATACTGGAGTGGTTTGCTCTTTCCTTCTCTGGATCATTTTACAGATGAGAAAATTGAGGCAAACAGGGTTAAGTGACTTGCCCAGGGTCACACAGGTTGTGAGTTTCTGAGGCTGGGTCTGAACTCAGAAAGATGAGTCTTCCTGATTTCAGGCCTGGCACTCCATACGCTACCTCTTGAACTATTTACATTATAGGATTGCTGTGAAGGAAAACCCTTTATAACTTATATGGTACTGAAAACAATGTGAGCCTTTGTTATTCCCTCCTACTCAATCAATTTATAACTCTGACTCCAATCAGAATCATTTCTTCACTGTCCTCTAAATAGGCTATACTTGTTCTGACCTCTGTGCTTTTCCTCTCCTTATTCTCTTCTCCGAGGAAACTCTACCCATTCCTTTCAAGCTATGTAAATTCTGCCTGTCCTTCAAGGTCCAGCTCCATTCCCATTTTCTTCCCACATGTTCTAGACAATACTAATTTCCATCTTCTCTGAATTCTCATGGCATTTATAGTCTATGAGTGAGTGTCCTTAAGTCTCCTTATTTGTCATCTCCATCTACTCATATTCCACTTTGAATTGTTCTTTTTGAGGCCCTTACCTCATTCCTGGAGTCCTTTGATCACCCTCTGAGCAGAGTTAGAACCTGTAGGCCCAGAACCACCCACACCCACCAGGGATCATAAAAACAGAGGGGGAAATAAATGGCCTTTGCCTTAGGATAAGAATTTATAGTTCCATCCATTGGTGTTGCCTTTGTTGACCTTTGCTGACTTTCGCTTCACTCCCTTTGCTCATCTCCTGGAATATGGGCACTTCCTGCTTATTTCAGTTCATGCTTGCTGTCCCGCCCCCCCCCCCCATTAACTAATCCTCTGGGTCTTATTATTTCCTTGCCTATCTAGACTTGTAGTATAACAGTGATAGCTCACCATATCAGATTCCACCTCTTCCATAACAATCTTATCAAACTAGCTAGAAATGTTATCTTCCCCCTCTTAAATCTCATGACACATTGTGGCACTTATTTATTAAACTGTTAGTGAATTTTAGTTAGTGTATAGACAGTTTCTAACTTAAATGAGATAATAAATATTGAGTGTTGCAAATTTAAAAGCACTATATAAATGCTAGTTATTATTTTTAAATATTAGAATTCTTAATTATTTGTATATAGGAAAAAAAATAGGGTATTTTCAAAGTCTTAGCAGAGTTTTAAGGTATTATAGCTTTTGGGCCTTCTGGGACATCATTTATTAGGGGAGTTAAAAAAGAAACTCTATATTCGTGTAATTTGTATTTGTATTTGTATTATTTAACTCTGTATTTGTCTTTGTGTAAGTCACCCAAATATACATGGAACCCTGTACTGTGTAGGCTTTCAATATGTTTGTTGATTGACTGATAAGGCCCCATTAGTAGCTGTGCTATTGTTCATCTGGTAGTAAATAGTGAATCTAGGAGTCAAACCAAGGCCTCTGACTTCAGATTCACCTCTCTTTCCCCTTCATCATCCTGTCTTTCTAGAGCCAAGAAGAGAACTAGTGCATGAAAGATGCCAAATAAGTTATGGCAGAAACACACAGTCTCTCATAAACAAAAATATATAAAGACAAAAGTAAAATTTGGTATTTAGATCTGGTCTTAAAAATCCTTAGGGCTCCTTGTATTCTATTAAAGTAAAATTCCAAATCTATATCTGCTATTTCTGAACTTCCATAATTTAGCATCATTCTACTACCTTTCTAAACTTATTTGATTTGATTCACCGGCCCATTTTCTACACTCCAACCCAACTGGACTACTCTCTGTTCCTGAACATGCTTTCCTGACTCAATGCCTTTGTTTTTCTTGCTCCTTATGCCAGTGACCTTCTCCCTCTGCCAATTGAGTCCCCATCTATCTCTTAAAGCCCAACTTAAATACTGTTTCTCCCTAGAAGACACCCTTGATCTCCATGATTTGAAATGAGCTTTTCCCTTATTTATTTTTTTGCTTCTTATTTTTAACTCTTTAATGCAATTATTATGTATACAAGGAGGATAATGACTTGGGTGTAACTGCAGGTATACGAGGCAAAAGTCAGCAGGTCCAATGTTGCCAACTTCTTCCTTGAGGCTTGTTGATAGCCCGTGTAATTTTTATTGCTTTAGCATTAGCTATCAAAGGTATGAAAGGAATTTCCTTACCCCAACTTCAGTATCAAGCAGGGAACAATGTTATGGAGAAAGAAAGGTTTTGACTTGAGGGATTCTTTTCTGTACTGACTGACCGTAGTTGCCCCACTAGTAAAAGTGGTGAAATGACCTGATTAGCCCTAGACAAAGACAGTCTCCCAAAAGAACAGTAACACTTTCTTTGAGAAACAAGAGTGATCCAATAGATGACAGTAACTCTGTGAGTTAGCATTAATTAACAGTTGCGTAGGTAAAGTTTGGCAGCAGTGAGGGGCAGTTCATTTTGGGGAGATAGAGGTATGAGAGACATTCCAGTTGGGACAAAGCCCGGGGATTATGAATTGATCCAGGTGTTCCCTTATAGAAATCTGGTGGAGATGGTGCTCTGTCACGTAGAAGGGGAAATTTCTCCTGTTGGTTACTTTGCTAATCTGGTACCCTGTTTTATACGAAGGGCATTTTCTTTTATTTACATTGCTTGTTATTCACATTGTTATATCCTAAATGAAAACTTTGCTATTTGTTTTGTGGTTCTCAGTCTGTGGAGAACACATTGGATATAGAAGAAGAACATTTGCACAGTAATGATTTCCTAAAGCACGCTTGAAGATAGCTTTCCTTGAAGATAGCAACTTGTGATACATTTGAGACTAGTATGTTGTTGTTGTTCAGTCTTGTCCAACTCTTCCTGACCCCATTTGGGGTTTTCTTGGCAAAGATACTGGAGTGGTTTGCCATTTCCTTCTTCAGCTCATTTTACAGATGAGGAAACTGAGGCTAACAGGGCTAAGTGACTTGCTAAGTTCAGTGACTTGTTAAGTCACACAGCTAGTAAGTGTCTGAGGCTAAATTTGAATTCAGGAAGATGAGACTTCCTGATTCCAGGCCTGGTGAGCCTGGTCTGGCTCACCGAGCCACTTAGATACCTAGAAAAAAAAGAAAGAAAAGAAAAATAATTCTAGAGACATTTCAAAGGAAGAAATTAGAGGACTTTGCAACGTATTTGCTAGAAGACTGTTGAAAAGAATGTAGTGCCTCAAATCTGTTGGGGGCCAGAAATTTCTCATATGAGGATTTATGGCAAAAGACACTTTCCCATATATCATCTACTCATATTTTTTTTTAAACAACAGATTGCAAAGTAGAGAGCATAAACATTATCAACTTCATTTTACCAGCGAGGAAGAAATCTTGTCTATGGTCACATAGCCCAGTAAGTGGAGGATCTGGGATTTGAAACTCTGGTCTTTTGACTAGGTGAGTCCTATGTCCTCCCCACTGTACAACACTGCTTTTGTGTGTGGACAAGAAGAAATATTAATAAAATTGAAACCATTACCCACAGTTCTAATGTTCTATTTCTTCAGGTTATTATAACTCAGTCATCCCATGCAATGTTTTTTTTTTCTTTTTCTTTTTGGGGCACTCAGGGGTAAGTGACTTGCCCAGGGTCTCATAGCTAGTAAGTACCTAAGGCAGGATTTTAGATTCTCCTGACTTCATGACCAGTACTATTATCCACTGTGCTACCTAGCTGCCCCTATCCCATGCAATGTTACTGTCTGCTGGGCTCTACTGGGAAGGAATCCGATTGTTGTCAAAGGAAAAGAATTTTCTCAGCCTGCCTAGTTGCTGGTTAAAGGTTTTCTCAACTTTGAGAAAGGCATTACATAACTTCCTTCAAGCAAAACCACAATTGCCCTTGGGATAAATGTCAATTTAACAAAAATAGCACTTGCTACTTCCACCTACCCAAGCCATCTTGAATATTTTGGAGACATCCATTCTTTCGAGGTGCCTTGGTGAAAAAGGGAAACATTCACTTATGTCTCTGACGATGAGGAAACTGAGGTAGAGAAAAGTGACGTGTCCTGGTCCTAACATTACTTTGGGTCATGTTTTATACCCTCTTTACCACAGACTGTCTTCACGCCTAGCCCAGAAATACACCCACTTCCTTGAGTTGCTTTTGAAGTAGTGCCTTTGTCTACAAAGGATGTTGGCTCCAGGAAAACTAGGAACTGCCAGCTTGATGCTTCCCAAGATTAGAACCAAGGTGAGAGCAAAGGTGAATAAGTGTAATCATGTTTCTATATATGCCAAGTTAATATAGTATATGCATATATATGTACATATATATGTATATGTATCCATAGAAAGATATATCTTCCTTTCATACTCATTTTCCTTCTTTTTCTTTCTTTCTCTTTCTTTCTTTCTTTCTTTCTTTTTTTTTTTGAAGGCAATAGGGGTTGAGTGACTTGCCCAGGGTCACACAGCTAGTAAGTATCTGAGGCCAGATTTGAATTCAGGTCTTTCTGATTCCAGGGTGGGTGCTGTATCTACTGTGCCACCTAGCTATCCCTTTCCTTATTTTTCTTGATGGGAAAAAAGAGAAAATATTTTGTCCAAATAGTTCAAAGTGCCTCCTCACTCACTTCACATGTATTTACCAAGGAATGTGCCTAAGAGTATACAGTGTTAAAGGAAACAGTGGTATAAGAGATACAGAATTGATCCAAAGTCAGCAAAACCTGGGATTGAGTCCCACCTCTGGCACATACTGGCTGTGTGACCATGGGCATGCCTCAGTACCCCCAGGCAAGTCTCTAAGACTAAGTTAAAGAAGAGTTGCTGATCTATGCCCTAGTGGAAGAAATTCACATACTGGGTGTTCCCTACACTGATACCATCATAGTACTAGGCAATACATACAAATGTATATATGTGTGTATCTTTGTATCTGTATCAAATATAATTATACATTGATTCCCTATCTATCTAATTTTATCTAAAATGATGCCAAAGAGATTTTGTACCACCTCTTCTCTATTCCATTCTATTCAATAACTATTTATTAAGCACCTACTATGTGCCAGGCACATGCCCAAACACAAAAACTAAAAATTGAAAATTCACTCCCTCAAGAAGTTTACATGCCTATTGGAGAGATCTAACATGTACACAGTTAAGGACATATAATTTGGTAGTGGGGGAGGTGCAGAAGGAAGAAAGAGGGGCATGTATTAAGAACCAGGGGGATCAGGAAAGACCTCGTGTAGGAGATAGTACCTGAGCTGAACCTTGAGGGAGTTAGAGTTTTTAAAAAGGTGGAGATGAGAAGGTAGAATAAGGACATGGCACTTCCCACAAAGTCATGAAAACAGTAGATGCAATGTCATCCATAGGGAATAGCAAGTAGTCCAGATTGGTTAAAATGAAGACATAGAATAAGTCTGGAAAGATAGGTTGAAGCCAGATCATGGAGGACTTAAGCCAAACAAGGGAGTCTGCATTTTGTCTTAGAGGGAGGGATCATAGCTTCTCTAGTAGGGGATTGAAGAGGTCAACCCTATGTTTATACCAGTTTTTACGTTTTTATGACTTAATTTGTTCATTTGTTTATTACCTTTTTAGTGTTCATTATTTTTGAGCGTCAGCTGTGGACAGCTCCTGGTTGCCATTAGCATTTTCTGAATGGGAAACAGCTGTGTGGTGGGCGCCTCCCTTAAGCAAGACCTACTTTGCCCTCATTTTGTACGATGAAGTTATAGGATCGACCAGTCTCCAAAGTCCTTACCAGCTCTAACATTCAGTGAGTCTGTGTAAGTACAGAGCTTATCAGATTAATAATAAACCTTTTGAGGCTGAAAGGGGCCTAACTCTTTGTGAATGAGGTTTTGGAAGGAAGGAGCAGGGGTGGCAATAAGAGGCAGAATGAGCAATCTCAAGTCCTGAGGGAGAGGAGTTTGCTATGTGGAGGCCAGGACCAGAGAGAGGAGAGGAAAGGAAGACTTCAGTGCCAGCTCTGTGCCTTAGACAGAGAGTGATAGTGGTAGACCAGTAGACCTCTAGCCTGGGGATCCAGGGCAAGTGTTTCATTTGTTTGTAATATCCATTTGCTCATTAATGAAATGAATCAATGCACAAAAGTACAGCTTAATTTACTTAATTTGGCTAAAAGTGCTAGATACATTACTGACCCTTGGCCTAGACCAAGGGTGGGGAACCTTGGGCCTTGAGGTCACACGTGGCCTTCTAGGTCCTTGGGTGCGGCCTTTTGACTGAGTCCAAGTTTTACAGAACCAATCCTTTTATTAGGAGGATTTGTTCTTTGAAGTTTGAATTCAGTCAAAGAGCTCCGCTTGAGAATCTAGTGGGCCACATGTGGCCATGAGGCTTCAGGTTCTCTGCTGCTGGACACACCCAGGGGGGAATAAAGGGACACTCTCCTTCTCTGGTTGCTGCACAACTTCACAACTCACCTGGCAAAGGAAAAAGTACAAGCACCATAGGAGTATCTCTATAGCCAAGTCTACATGTGGAGAGAGGGGGGAACATTAAGGCAAGGTGACTGATTTCTGCTCCATGTTCAGAAGGCCTCAGAATTAGGCTTTTCTCCTGGGGTAGAAAGTGAGACCAGAGTCCATTGTATTTGTTTCTGGAGGGCATGCTCAGTTCTAATGTATTTATAAACATACAGACATTACAACACTTCTCTCTAACAAAGGGCCTTTCAGTTCCCTTTTCGAGATTAGTTGTCACAGACAAACTCAAAGTATTTTAACTGTAAACAAGCGCTGTTTTCAATAGAACACTTTCCAATTGGCCCAGAGCATTAAAGAGCCAGATGGCTTTTGGATAGTATTCACTGTCCTCCATAATCAGGGGACAAAGAAATCTTCAGGACTGCAGAATGTTTACTTTAATGAACTTCGATCAGAGGTCTAGTGCAGAAGGGACTTGCAAGGTCATCAAGTCCAATCCCCTCTTTATTTCATAGATAAGGAAGAAACTAAGACACAGGTGTGGGTACAAGTTGAAGCAACATGCCTGAGTTCATGTAAGTGTTAAATTCCAGGGTTAGAATTTGAACCTCAGTCCTCCTTTTTTCTTATCCAAAGGGTCAATGTTCATTGGGTGCTTATACTTTTGAAATCAAATAAACTTTAACGTTGGTGCGAACACTACCTAGAAGAGATCACTGATTCCTCTTTCACGTTAGGGGTAACTCCTGGCTTTAGGAGATCTAGACCTTGTAAGAAGCCATGAGTTTAAAGGTAACAAGTTGGAAAAGGGAATTTTTTTAACAACCAGGACAGTGATATTTCAGCTCTAAGTGCTCTCTCTCTGTTCTTAGTCATTAAATTACGCAACTTTCAGGATAACAGCTGCTGACTTCAGGAGGGTTACTTATCCCCAACTTATCCTCTGATTCTCTGAAAGGGTGTTTATTCACGTGGCCTTATTTTCGTTGACACTGACTTTTTTTTTCTACTCTTCTCCTTCCCTTCCTCCCTGAGGAGGGATAGGAAAAAAAAAAACACTTGTGCCATTCAATATTATCATTCCAAATCCTCATGGACTGTTGCCGGTTCTTAAAATATTTGAAACTGAACTGAAAGCTACATTTGTCTGTAACTTTTCTTTTGTAAATGAATTCACATGTAAATTCACCAAATAAATATTCCATTTAAAAAATGTTCTTTGTATTGATCCATGATGCCTATAGTCCACACACCAAACATGGCTCCTTTCTATAGCACCCCTGAGAAGAGGTCACCCTTCCTCTGCTTGAATATGTCCAGTAGTAGAGGACTCTTTACTTCCCCAAGTCAGCAATCATGTTATGCTAGTTCTCATATTCTGATCTTTATAGAGGTCTGTAGCCTGTCCAGGGGTGCCACCCAATGCTCTCTGCATGGCTGTCCCAGAGGTTCCCAGCCTCAGGATGATGATTTTTTTTTTTTGTCACAGCAACTCCCAAAGGGTGTGTGGGTGGGGATCGGGGTATGAGGAAAGAAACTTTTATTAAGCACTTACTATGTTTCAGGCACTGTGATAAATACTTTACAAATATTATCTCATTTAATCCTTAGAACAACCCTGCACTGAGACAGAGAGAGATTGCAGTATGGAGAGAAGTCTCATATTGATGAAATAAAGGAGTTCTAAGTATTGAATTATTATACAGATACTGGAATGAGCAAAGATATTAAAGCTACATGGCACAGTGGAAGGACAGCTAGGTGGCACAATGGATAGAGCGTGGGGCCTCGAGTCAGAAAGACCTGAGTTCAAGTCTAGCCTCAGACACTTACTAGAGGTGTGACCTTGGGCAAGTTACTTAACCCTGTTTGCCTCAGTTTCCTTATCTGTAAAATGAGCTGGAGAAGGAAATGGCAAACTACTCCAATATCTTTGCCTAGGAAACCACAAATGGGGGTCACAAAAAATCAGACATGACTGAAAAAATTGAACAATAACAACAGCACAGTGGAAAGAAGTGGTGGTTTCAGTTCCTACCTGACATTCATCACATGCGTGATCATTATCAGATATGTCAAAACTTCTCTGGGTCTCAGGTTCTTCATCAGTGAGATGAAGGGTTTCGCCAAAGATTTTTGCCAGCTCTAGATGTATGATAGCTCATCTCTGCAACCTAACTTTTGAAAGAGAATCTGATGTTGTTTGTTCAAACAGGCTTAATTCTAGTTTATAGCAGCACACACCCAATATAAACAGCGTGCTTGTTTAGTCAACTTGAGTACAAATTTGGCTTGCTTGCACCAGTCCAGCAGCCTGTCTACTTTTCCATCCGTTTTATATCTTACTTCCCTCACTATGTTCTCAGTGACATTGGCTTCTTTGCTGTCCACCCCCCCATAAGACATGCTCTTTGTTTCCCTGGCTGTTCCCTATACCTGCAGTGTTGGAATCTCCACCACATGGCTTCCTTCAAGTTCTAGCTAAAATTTCACCTTCTACAAGATGCTTTTCCTAATCCCCATTAATGCTAGTGCCTTCTCTCTGTTCCAATGTACTATATATGTATGTATATATATCTTGTTTGTCCATAGTTGTTTGCACATAGTTGAGAGTGGACTTTTTTTTCCTTTTAAAAAATACATCCCCAGCACTTAGTGCCTTATATATAGTGCATACTAATGTTTGTTGCTTTTTGAGTTTGGGAGGGGCAGTTGGGAGGTCCTAGACTTGTGATGTCATAAATATAAGGGACTCTTCTTGTGGAGGAAACTTTCTACCAATTCAAATCAGCAACCATTGTTCAATTTAGAGTCTTAGAGAATTGTTTGGGATCCTGAGAAGTGACATGACTTATCTAAGGTCACACTGCCACATATCAGATTCAGGATTTATAATCCAGGGCTTCTTGATCCCAAGGCCCTTGAATTATCAACTTTACCATGATGTCATTCTCTATTTTTTTTTAAAGGACTGGGTCTCCTAATCCCACCTAGGCTGCAAATGTTGTGGCTACTCAAGGACCTAACCCCACAGTTGATTGTTACTGGAACTTCAACCTGCTCCATTTTTTATCTTGGTTGTTTTCACCCCTCTTTAGCCAACTTAGTGACTCCTCACTCCTGAGGGGCTCACCCTATTGATGCCAGATTTTGTGTAAATATCTAATTAGCTCACCTGCTGCAGCTCAGAACTCTAGAGCTCAAGAGCTCCATCACCTTCCCACTTTTCTGGTAGATAGTATTGCAAGTCTGATCTCAGCCTATCTTAGTGTTAATATTTTAAATATTGAATTTGATAAACATGGGGAGCTATGCTAAGGAGGTTAAATGCGGTGTGGTTCTATGCCAACTGATATAAGCAGGAAGATTCATCAACAGCAGGCAGGATGCTAGCATCATGTTTCATGACAGTGAAAATGGCCTTGATCTCTGGTCTAGGACAAAGTGTTTTATAGATCGGTAGATTTACAAGGCGCTGTGTCACTGCAAATTCACAGTATGAGCCTTGGACCCTAGGCTCCCATAATCATGTGAAAGCAGGAAAAGATTTTTTTCATCTCTACCTTGGAAAAATGTATTCCTTTTCCTCCCTGGACACTGTGCCTCCCTCGTACAACTGTTGGTTTTTCTTATTTAAATGTTACACTCAGTTTCTACCCCTTTCCTCCCTCCCCTCTACCTTGCTGTCTCAATGACCAGGTTCCTAGAACTGTCTGATGAATAACTCAGTAAGACAGCAGATGAGAGAAGGAGAGAAGATAAGCCTAAAAATTACTTAAGGCCTTCCTATCTATATAATCAATAAACATGGCAATTGGGGGAATGCTTGGGGCTGGCAATCTCTTGCCCAGTTCCACCCACACCAACAGTCTTGTGATTCCTTCCTTTTCCCTTTCCAATGCCACCTATATAGAGGTAGCTAGGATTGCAAGTCTGAGCTCAGCCTATCTTAGTGTTAACATTTTAAATATTGAATTTGCTAAACATGGGGAGCTATGCTAAGTTAAATTTCCATTTCTATTAAAATATAGTGGAAATGATGTGTAAAGAGGTATTGGGGGAGAAGAGTGAGAGAGCCAAACAGTGGGATTTTCCTTGGATGCCGTTTTGTGTTGGTCTTGACTGGAGGCTAGGAGGATGACCTCATTCTGTCATATTGAAAAGTTTCTGTAACATCTAAGCATTGAGATGGTGGCTAAAGAGAGTGATCTGATTTGCTGTGTTCAAAATGGACTCATGTTGCCAGATCTCAAGTGTTTCATGATATTTTGGGAGGAGTTTCATATGAGGTTTTCAAATATTTTATAATAGTCCAAAGATGTTTAAGTGGCAAATATAAGAAATAGTATGACATAGTGAATCAGGCACTGGACCTCAAGGCAGGAGGCACTGACCTCAAATTGTGCCTCAGAAAGTTACTGGTTGTATGATCTTCCACAAGTCACTTAATTTCTCTGTGCTTCAATTTCTTCTTCTGCAAAATGGGAGGGATTCTTAGGCCCAATCTTATAAGGAAGATGGGTTGAAAAATAACAGTGAGAGAAGCATTGCTAGAAATCAGCTTGTAGGGCAGGGGAAGATCTGGGGGCTTCAGTGGACTAAATATGAATCAATTTTGTGGGCCTTAAGAATAGAGAAGTGCTATTTCAGGCAGTTGGAAAGTTACCCCTATCCCTGCATAATATCTCACTTGCCTAATTTCTTGATGCTTGAAATTTCACAATTAGATGTCTTAGTTGTAATTTTTTGGCTGAGAATACTGTCTCTTGTAAATATAGAAATAC